AATTAGAAACAGAGAGGAAAACAATAGTGAGAAGGATTCAATAGAAAATTTGAACAACACTCAGGCTGAAAGTACAGAAGAAATTTTCGAGATCCTATCAGGTGATGAGATGACCTTAAATCAGATAGTCTAACATAAACAAGATAGAAGTGGTCCAGAACAGAGAAATGTAAAAAAGAACACACCTAATACACAACCTACTAGAAAGTGATCTAGTCTTTTCACCCAGCTCGAAAGGGGAAAAGCTATATATACTACTTTTTCTGCAAGGAAAAATATAAGTACCAAGAATGAAAACGTATTAATTTTTGATCTACAAAGACTAAGAGAAATCTCAACGAATGAAATTGTGTCGACTATATACAACAATTTAGGAGAAGACCTTATCGGAACTATGCCATATTATACAAAAGGCTTCCGTACACACTTAGAGCTAATTTTTGCTGATAACCAAACAATGAGGACATATGCAAAGAACGGAATTACTATCGTTAACCAAACATTCTTCAGGTTTATCTCAAGCAGGACCCAGAGCTCTTTTTTGACAGTTAAACTCCGAAAACTCCCTATAAAAAGAAAGGATATCATTTCTAAGGAAATAATGAATGCATTTGAGAAACTGGACAAGATCGTATCAGTTAAACTACTGCTATATGAAGACATACTGATCTTGACAGATCAGTAGTTGATTATTTTCGATATAACTGAGGACACGGATCTAACAAACAGAATTCCTAGATTTGTGAATATTTTAGAACAAAAGATTACAACAGAGTAGAGAGATATCCCAAAGCTCTGCTACTTCTGTAATCAGAAAGGACATCTAAAAAGAGACTGCGAACAACTAAAGAAGCCAATAAACTAAAGCAACAATATAAAGAATTCCAGAAGATCAAGAACAGAGTTAATAGTCATACTAACCCCTCTAATTTGCAAGATACTGTAGAATCCGAGAGCAATGCTAACGTCACACAGATCAATATAGACGAATCTCCTGCAAAAGAATCAAATGAATTACAAACATCACTTAATGAAGAGGAAGTAACTCAGGTGAAACGATCCAAATTAACCACACAAGCTACACATAGAGCTTCAGCATCAGAAAATTCAAAAACAGAAGTAGAAATAAATTCCACAACAGAATTAGCTATGCATTCAGAAGAAGTTGATATGGGATCTCAAGAAGAATCAGGAGACAGAGATGATAGCTTCATAGAGGTAGTCAATAGGAGAAAAAAAGATAAAAGTAAAAGCACAAAGTCAGAAGAAATAAGATTAAATCTATATAAAAAACAG